TCATAGAAAACTGTTGGAGTTTGACCAGATAGAAGGTGCCTGCACTGAACTGTTTCAAGTATAAGAGATAAAGTTTTTCATGACAAACCATTAAGATGGGGATGGTGTTTGTAACAGAAGTTGAGCAAGATAAAGAGGATCAGGAATGCTGGGGTAGGAATTTTAAATAAAGTCCTCAAGGTAATAGGGGGAGAAAAAAGAACTTTCAATACAAAAGGAATGCAAGTACAAAGGCCCTGTGGTGAGAGACATTTTGCTTTTCAAGGAGCAGCAATGATGCCAGTGTGGAAGGAGAACAGTCAGCTATTAGGTTAAGCCTTCTGGAGTTGCTGATATTCAAACATTTCTGCTTATGAACACAGAAATTGCATACAGCTCAATGCTATGAGTGAGAGTACTAGAAGATGATATCAAAAAGATGACAGTAGAGGCTGGATCATGTAAAGTCTAAGACCACTCTAAGTACTTTGGCTTGTCCTCTAAGTGAAATGGGGAGCCATTGTAGGTTTTGGATGGTGTGAGATGAGACTATGAGGAACAAGAGTAGAAGCAGTTAGTCTAATAAGGAGGCATTTCCAGTAAACCAGTTTTGGAAGAAGGGTGGCTCAAATCAGTGTGGTAGCAGTAAAAGTGATTTTAAAAAATGGCAGACTTTACACAAACTTGGAAGGCAGGACCAATATAATTTCATGACAAATTAGATGTGAGCTGTAAGAAAGAATGATATCAAGTTTATAGCCTGAGCAAACAGAAACATAGAGTTGCCATTTAATGAAATGGGGAGGTAGGTCTGCAGATGGAGCAGGTTTTAGGAGAAATATCAGAATTTTAGTTTTAATATATTGACTCTGTTAGACATCCACATGGAAATGTCAAGTGGGTTGATGAATTTACAAGTCTGGAGTACAAAGAAAGGTCAGACTAGACATATAAATTTGAGACTTGTCAACTTACAGATGACATTTAAAGCCATAAACTTGTATGAGATCACCAAGAGAAACAGTATAGATAAAGAAGCAGCCCTCAGACTAAGCCTGGGTCACTGCAACATTAAAGAGATCTAAGAGATAAAAGGGAGCCAATAAAAGCAAACAAGCAAAAAACAAAACAAAACTAAGAAGTGGCCAGTGAGTTACCAGAAAAACCTAGAGAAGGTGGGATCCTGTGAGGTAAATAAAGAAGTTTTTCAAGGAAGACAGAATGATTAAGGGCTACTGATAGATGAAATAATATGGAGATTAATAAATGACCACTGGAGGTGATTGATGACACTAACAAGAGCAATTTTCATGGAGTGGTGAGGGAGCAGGCAGGGAAGTCACACTGGAGTAGATCTTAGAGACAATGGAAGGAAATCAATTGAAGACAATGGAAAAGACAGCTTTTTCAAAGAGTTTTGTTGCAATGGGAAGTAGAAAAATGGGGTGGTAGCTTGGAAGGGTAAGTGAGATCAGAAGAGGAAATTTTTAGGATGGAAAAACTAACAACATGTTCTTACACTGATATAAACCCAAAAACATACAGTTTGATGCAAAAATAAGCAAATTGCAAAAAATAGGTACCGCATGGCACAATTTATGCTTTAAAAAATTTACCAGCAGTACCACACTTCATCTAATCTATTTTTCACATTTTTTAGAGAAAAAAGTAGCAGACTACTATTTTTATTTCCTTTCCTTTTTTGTTTTCTTTTTCTTCTTTTTTCAGTTTTTCACATTTTAACATCTTTGAAAGTGGTATTTGTCTTATACGTCATTGCTTATTGTAGCTTAGTGGGTGGTCTATTTTTCTGTACTACATAAAATAAAGACAAGTCTCAAAACTAATAGGGTATTACACTCAGTAATATACAATATATATTTTCTATGGGTACATAAGTAAAGAAGGCTAAATGGCAAATTCAAAACGGGGAAGAATCAGGGGAGTAAAACAACTGTAATTGAGAATGCTTATAAATTTTGATTTGTAATGTGCTACTAAGTGAGAATGTATGCCAACATTTGGTGTGTAATTTAAAATTACTTTTATATATGTGAAACTGGCCAAGGTTAGGATTAAAAATACATAAATATGTAAGTGAATGAAAAAAAGAAACAACTCAGAAGAAAAATATGAAAAGAACTCACACAATAGGAATACTGAATGGCCAAACAACACAGGAGAATAAATTCAATCTCACCAATAATTAGAAAAACGTAAATTAAAACAGTGAGCTGCCATTCCTCACTCACTAGTTTGGCACACATTACAAATGTGAATATGTCAAGAGTTGACTAGGATGTGGGGAACAGGAAATACATATAATTTGGTACAATATACTATAATTTGGTACAATCAATTAACATAGCAATTAGGCAGCATATAGGAAATTTGAAGTGCTTACACTTAGAACTCAGTATTTCTTCTTCTAGTATCAACTCTACAGAAACTCTGGTACAAGTACACAAAGATATTCACTGCAGCACTGTCTGTAAGAATGAAATACCAGAATAAACCAAAATAATCATCAACAGCAGAACGGATGTTTGAATATATTGTTCCATGGATGATAAAAATGTAACATGTGTATACTCTGCAATAGACCTTGAAAGTGACAAAGAATGTTAGAGATATAACACAGATAAATTTTTTAAAAAAATCATTGAATGAGAAAACCAAGCTGCACAAATTGCAAAAAATAACTAAAATATGATAGCATTTATGTTTAAAGTTCAGACAAGTTTATTATGAGACATTTCAGAGCTGTATTGCAGACTTCCTGACAATGTAATCATTAAGGAAAAAAAAAATTCTTGAATATCCTTAACAGTGGATTTATCTAGTTAGAAAAAGAAATGCTAGATAAGGTTAAGTACGGGATTGGCTAGTTTTACAAAGTGTAGAACTGTCAAATTCTTATCAGTTGTACAGTATATACCTGGGTCATAAAGATATAGAGCCATCTCCAAGAAATCAAGCATGGGCCATTGAAGAAAGTTATTCTTTTTTCTCACAGTATGGAGAAATTATCCTTCATAATGTACATTTAAAAAAATAAATGAGACATAAAATGCATAGTATCCACTTGTAAAATATGTATACATCATTCAATTTTGTATATCCTAAGAATAAGTACAAAAATTCTTATGATATACAAAAATTCTTATGATATAATCATACGAATAAAAATAGAAAGTACGAATTTTTGTATATGAATAACTATATAATACAAAAATTCGTACTATATACAAATGACGACTGGTAGCATTAGGAAGGTGGAAGGGAACAGGATCAGCTCTAGAAGATAAAAGAGAATTACATTTTATTGGTGATACATTATTTCTACTTTTAAAAGCTTGAATAAAAATGAATAATGTTAATTCTGAATGGAGAGTAGTTAGTACTTCTAATATTGCTATATACACTCTGTATTTCACAAAATATTAACTAAAATGGCTTTACAAAGAATTTTTAACAATTGAATTTCCAAGCTTTCTAAGAGTTTGGGAAAAAAACAAAGGAAATAAGTGCTCATATTTTGCTGCGAGCCCTGGGGAATGGGAAGCGGGCTTACAGTAGATTTTTTTTTTTTTTGTCAACTTTCTGAATTTTACAGTGTCCACATTGTGCATGCAACTCATCTGCAACGAGGGGAAAAGGGGAAAAGCAAAAAGGAAAAAAAAAAAAAATCCTCAAGAAGTTCGGGAATGACCAGTTACGAAAAACTATATAAAGATTAGCTCAAGGTGGCAGACTGCGCACTGCGCACTAGTGCCTTTCTCTTGTCCCACCCCAAATCCCCTTAAATGACAGGAAAGACAGCATTTGTATATAAAAAATAACTCCACAAGGGCACGAAGGAAAAGAAAGAGCAAATTCCTAGAAGATGGAAAGCAGATGGGGGCAGGGGCGCTGAGGGAACAGAGGTGGAAAACAGGGTGTTGGAACCTGGGGCCCTGAACAGGAGGCAGGGACCCTAGGCGGTGCGGTAGAGGTGGTGGTGGGCTGGACAGCCACTGATTTGTTAGGAAGGGGAGGGACCGGGAGCCCAGGAGCCCCTCCTCTGCCCAGGGCGGTGATGGGGGTTGGGGTTTGTTGTTTGGGGGGTGGGCGGAGAGAGCGTCTCGGTGTTTGCAGGAAGGGGAGGCCTCTGTCCTTGCAGGAAGCTGTGCTACGAAAAGTGGGAGGAGACTGCGGCGGCGGCAGCTGCTAGTGGAAGCCTGATGTGGCAGAGGGGCCGCTGCCGAGGAAGCTGTGCTACGAAAAGGGGGAGGAGACTGCGGCGGCGGCAGCTGCTAGTGGAAGCCTGATGTGGCAGAGGGGCCGCTGCCGCCGACAGGGAGGCCGAGGGCCAAAGAGACTAGCGCTGGGGACGCCGCAGCTGTCCTCTTTGCACGACCCACCGCCCTTTTAGGCACACTCCTCACCTACGGATTCTCCCTTCTCAGCTTTTGCAAGCACCAGCTGGTCACCTACTGATCTTCCTTCGTCACAGACTCATTCACAGCAGAGGCAGCGGAGAGGTGTCCAATTTGGGCACGTGAGGCCCGCGATTTGGGGTGGTGGGGAGGTGGGCGCTGGATCGCGAAACTGGAAGATGGGGGTTGGTGGGTGCTAGTCGGGAAGATTGGAGTGGGTGCTGGAATGAAAGATGAAAGTAATTGGGATGGGTGATTTGGGGGCTGTGTGGTGGGGGCCGGAAGAGCACCTGGGTGGCCAGAAAGGGAAATAGGTTTGTGGTGGGAGCTCAGAGGGAAATTGAGGATGGCCCGGAAGAGACTTGAAGGAGAGGTGAGAACCAGGCAGGAGGCGAGGGTTTGGACAAGCAGAAGACATGAGTAGCAGAGGGCAGTTGGCAAGAGATGTGGGGACTGCATGCATGGAAATGGAGAGATGTGGCAAGGGCTAAGAAATGGTGAATATGGGGGGGCCGCGGGGGGGGCGAGGCAGGATGACAATAGAGAATCAGGCCAATAGAGAATCAGGCAATATTCAAAGGAGCCCCCTACCTCTTGCTTGCATCTCAACCACCAGGACCACCACAGTCACCTCTTCTTTAGCTCTCCTGCCCAGCCAAACAAGCCTGGAAGGAAGGCAATACAGGCAGGCATCCAAGACTGTCTTGAAATCTAAAATTGCTATTGGACACCTATAAACAACGTAGGCGACGGTCTACCTGGTGTACAGGGACTCTACAATACAGAGAAAAAACTCACCTTATAGTACATTGAATGGTTCTTCCTAGCCTCTCTCCTCCCCCTGCAGGTATGAAGAACCCCCACATGGAAGCTGTAGGTCACCACACCAGACCTACAAACATGAGAAAGAAAAAGACCACTCAAAAGAAGCAGAGGGGGAGACCTTCCTCCCAGCTCTGCAGGAACATCGTGGGCTGCAGAATTTCTCACGGATGGAAGGAAGGCGATGAGCCCATCACCCAGTGGAAAGGAACCGTTCTGGATCAGGTGCCTATAAATCCCTCTCTTTATCTGGTGAAATATGATGGAATTGACTGTGTCTATGGACTGGAACTTCACAGAGATGAAAGGATTTTAAAACTTAAAATCCTTCCTGATAAGGTGCCATTTTCTCGAGTCAGAGATGTATGCCTTGCAAATACGATAATTGGCAAAGCAGTGGAACATATGTTTGAGGGTGAGCATGGTTCTAAGGATGAATGGAGGGGGATGGTCTTAGCCCAAGCACCTATCATGAAAGCCTGGTTTTATATTACATATGAGAAAGATCCTGTCTTGTACATGTACCAGCTTCTAGATGATTACAAAGAAGGTGACCTCCGTATCATGCCAGAGTCCAGTGGGTCTCCTCCAGCAGAGAGGGAGCCAGAAGGAGTTATAAATGGCCTGATAGGTAAACATGTGGAATATACCAAAGAAGATGGCTCCAAAAGGACAGGCAAGGTCATTCACCAAGTGGAAGCCAAACCTTCTGTGTATTTCATCAAGTTTGATGATGATTTCCATATCTATGTCTATGATTTGGTGAGAAAGTCCTGTTAGAATGAAACTCGCCAGTTTTTTGGAGGCAAATGTGTAGTTTGTAGACATGAAAAAATGTTAACTTTTCAGTGTATTAGAAGCTTAAGGGTATTTGATAACCCAACATCTTTGCCAGCATAACTGTTATTTTGTTCTGAAAAATACAAATTTATGTGGACGTGAAATGCTGTGTGTAAGCACTTTGTCTTGTGGAGAAGATTGGGTGTGTTTGGTGGATGGGGCATGAGAGAAAGAACAGCTGTCAATTCAGACTGTAAATAACGTTCAGCTAGTATCGTAACCAGTCATCTAAAAATGGAATAGGACTTAGCTGGTCTGGTCTGGAGGGGAGGAGGGGA